TTTGTTCAATCATGAATAGTAGTGCGAGTCGAAAACAAGCGTTAAAGCCTTTAATATGTCTTCAAATATAAATAAACATCTCGTTGATATTTTCAGTAGTAAATGGTACCAATAACAGCACATTCGAGCAATGCAATTGTAGTGGATAAAATGGTCAATTTTTCCGTGCAGTACTGTACGGATTATACGCTTCTCACCGGTTAAGAGTTGTCTCCTTCCTTTTCTGGCCTAGTGCTGTTCTTTTCTACTTTGCGCCGGTCAAACTGAAGGTCACATTGCTACAGAAAGTAAACGAAGTATACAAGTTACCTAATAAATTCTACTACTTCTACGGCAAATTCAGTTATTTAGAATCTAAAATTGTAACTTTTGCGTTGTCGTAAAAATCTCCGTGTATTACTTGATTTGTTTCATTTTAAAAATTAATAATGGCTCATTACTTTAACGATTACGACGGGTCACTACAGCTCTTTTACATTTAAAATGCTTGATTACAACAAATATTCACCGAGAATTATTCAACCCAGTACTAATACTGAAAAGAATGCCAAATACGCCGAGATTCGTGTATTAAAACGAATAAGATACTCGGCGCACCCAGGGGCGGATTAAGGCCTAGGCAACCTAGGCACGTGCCTGGGGCCCCTAATTTTTGGAGCCCGAAAAAAAGGCAATATAACTAATCAATCTGTGTATATTTGTTTAAATATTATTATCTGTTTTAATAAATTATGTTTATTTAATTTTTGTACATGTATATTATTTTTTTAATTTTTTTTCTTGGAACCCCATAATTAAATAGAACTACATACTATGTGCTTTAAAACCAAACTAGCAAACGCAAAGTATGTGTCATGAGTCATGACTGAAAAATAGGCCCGGAATTACAATGTTGCCTAGGGCCCGCTTTAGCCTTAGCCCGCCACTGGGCGCACCCCTAGTTATTCTCTTTTTTTTATGTATATAATTCATCGTTTTCATCCTTGGTCGCGAAAAAGGCTTTTAATTAAACCATGCGCTTGACTGTCGTAAGTAATTAATCAATGGATTATAATTTTAACTAAATCCTAAGTAAATAACTAACTTCAATTATTTCAGAATTAGGCAGAAGTTAGTAGGTGCTTTCCAAACCTCTTTCTTAACTACGATTACTTTTCACGATTAAAAAATTATGAAAGTGAATCTGAGGGATTTCTTTTTTACACCTGGGCGTTTATATTATCTGTATTTGATTTGTTATTTTATTTAAATATTTATTGACCTTAATCCAAGTTCCATGAATGCAACGATTGCCCCATATTTAACAAACTCCCACCTAAAGCATCTCCAAATAACTTTTAACATACTCGGTTCTTTTTCAGTATCTGCAGCTTGAGTATATTCAATAGTCCATAAGTGCGCTATTCGTCGACCAAGAATTGATGATTTATGTTCTCTAAGTGGTGCCGATAGATCATGTGCGTCTAGCTCGCGCTTCCATCCTATTTTAAAAATTTTCGAAGTATACCTGTAATAAATGACCGTATCGTATCATATTTTTTTTTAGTTTAACATTAACTTCTTAAATTTACCAAAATGTTAAAGCTGAAATGAAATTCGCATTAGCTCTAGGATTCTTTTCCAAAGTTTGAGCTTGAAAATTCCTCATTTTCCATCAAGAGATGTCAGAAATGACAAAATTACCTCATTTGCTATAGAAATGATTGCCATAGTGTGCAGGGTGCCAATTTCAAGTGTCGAAGCCGGCAAAGACTACAACGTCGATTAAATTAGACAAAATGAGTAGGTTGTAGGAGCCATTCTTAATTCGTATATACCTAGTATTAGCAAATTTGGCTTATTTTCTGATATACAATTTTTTTAAAAATTGGTCGTCAATAAGTTTATTTGCTTTTTTGCATATACCGAGTACGGTAAACATGGATCTGGATTTGTTTTTCAAATTTTTAAAAACGTATTTTATTGCCGTCATAACGATATTGCACATAATCATAGTTTCGAACGTTTGGATGTAAAAAATCTTTAGGATCTTTTTGTTTTCTTTCCATGTATTACTTTAGCAAAACAAATTATAATATTTATAACGTAGTTACATTTCTGACACATCATGCTTAATTTACAGTCTCAAATTAATCAGTGGAAGTTGCAGAAATACATTAGAATTTACAGTTTTTTCAACAAAAATTAATTTGTAGCGTTGTTTATAGCAATTTATTTTATTTACTATTCGAAATAAAAAGTTTGAATCAATATTAAGTACTAATTTAATGAAAGAAAAAAATTAAAAAACAACTAAACATGCAGCTATGTAAATACAAATATTAAAAAAAGTTTGTTAAAAATGCACACCTATGCCTAAATAATAATGGAATGCAATCTGAGCGGTTGCCATAATAGTTGTTTAATTTTTTTTTTCAATTTTCTTTAGTTTGATAAATTTAGTACTTAATATTACATATAAAAAAAAAAATGTGAATGCTATCAGCACAGGGTGAAGTAGTATTAAGTAAATGAAAGTTAGCATCGGCAATTTTTTATGCTGAAGTGTATGATGTATTGCATCCATTAATAAACCGTAATGGCCGACATCAGTGACAATGCGACAACAATTGAAAAAGAATGATGGCCGACAACTGCAAGGCATATCAAAAATGTAATTACGTTACAAATAACTTGCTTTGCTGGAGTAATACGTAGAAAGGAAATTAAAAAAATCCTAAACAAATTAAGAATGGCTCTTAAAAACTGCCTATTTGTGTTCTGTCTAATTTAATCAATGTCTTAGTTCTTTTCAAGTCTACAAAACAGTAATGCGGGGCATACCCGAAATAAACACCCTGTATGCTTTTACACTTGATGAATTTGTCATGGCTAAATTGGTATTATGTTTCACAGCCGGTAAAGTGTGTACATAACCTAATATTATTGGGTGATTTATTCGTATAACTTGGTTGTTATTAAAAGTGTTAGTATCTCGAAAAAGCCTCTAAGTGTCTATAATTGAAATCCTGCTACAGTGAGGTGTAATTATTTGTGCTTTTTGGTATTATTAGTGCCTCTCAACAAAAAGAAACAGAAAATGTCACACATAAATACAGATCTGACTGAAGAAGATGCTGCAGATTTACAGTTTCCAAAAGGTACATTTCTATTTTTTATTGTTACTTTAAATTAGTTGTAGAGTTTGCAGATAAACAGTTGTCTAATAAACCAGAAAGTACATTTCCATCTACGTTGTGCGGAGCTTGTAGCGAAGTCTTAGAGGTACCTTACATTGTTTGTGTGCCTTGCAATGTTAGTGTATGCAAGCTTTGCTTTGTTAATGGTGCAGAGTTTTCTTCTCATAAAAATTACCACAGTTATCGCGTTTTTAATCACAACTTTATATTATTTGAAAACTCAAACTGGACTGCTCAAGAAGAACTTACCCTACTGGATTCACTACTCGAAGTGGGAAATTGGGATTTAGTTGCAAAGCAATTACCAAATAAATCCGTCGAAGAGATTAAGGAGCATTACAATAAGTTTTATTTAGAAAGACAGGGTTCATGCATGTTGCCTACACTTCCTCAACATGAAGCAATTGACAACAGACCTTTAATACCATACAAATTTCGTCTTAACGATGTATCTGAACCTCCTCGTAATTCGCCTTTCTCAATTAGCTTTTATTCTCTGGCTGGTTACAATGCTGCCAGGTCAGAATTTGAACTGGATTATGATTCAAATGCAGAAGATTTAATAGTAAATTTAAAATTGGAAACAGATAGTCCCATAAACACTGTAATGCAGGAACTTCAGTGTGCTATTATACGAAGTTACAATCGAAGATTAGGCGAAAGAATGAAGAGGAGAAGAATAATTAGAGACCATGGACTGATATTAGTCAGAAAAACTGTTGCATCGCTTTTACGTTATGAATCTACAATAACAAGACCAGTCTATGAAAGAATATGCAGATTTATGCAGTTTTATAAAGGAATACAATTTGATTATTTAATGGAAGGGCTGCACAGAGCAGGAGAATTAAAAGCACAAATCTCAAAGTGAGTGGCATTTGGAAATTAAATAAAGTATAGATTATTAGTGAAATTATAGAATAACTAACATAATTGACAACATTTTCAAAACTAATTTCAAAAAAAAAACTTCCAATGAGTTAAATTTAATTATCGTATATATTTTTTTCTTGGTTCTCTCACAATAATGTTTTTCATTTATTTTTCTTCACCACTCTGATATTAAATCATACAGTATAGCATATGATTTTAAAAAAAATTGACATTCCTTTGTATCCTAGATTATGCGAATTCCGTCGAAAAGGAATTATTTCCCTTAATGGAGCTCATTTGTATATGAATTTAAAACAAGACAGGGATGAAGCAATCAAAGATGTTAAGGAGTTTCAAAACAATGTTCAGTTAAAGTGGAAATTACTAAACACTGCTACATCTCAAGCCATTACAATCCCATGTAAAAGAAGGGGATCATACACTCCTTTGGACATTGTGGGGCTCCCCGGATATGAAAAACTGCTCCCCAAAGAACAAGAATTGTGTAGTAAAATACGTTTGGTGCCCCTGACATATCTGGAATTAAAAAATATTTTAATTGCCGAAAATAACAAATTTGGTTTTTTGAAACTTCAATGCGCCAGAAGACTTTTAAAAATTGATGTGAATAAGACTAGAAAATTATACGACTTCTTAATTGAAGAGGGTTATATAAACAAACCAGTTCATTAACATGTTTATGTTAATTATTTAGTAACTGTAATGTACCTTTGTATATAATATAGAGAATCTGTGATAAACATGTAAATATAAAAGAATCAAATAGATCATATTTCACATATTCTTTTGGATAAATCTATACAAAAAAATTTTTCAAATTTTGAAAACTTCAAAATCCTTATCTAATTAAATTGAGAAATAGAAAACATTTTTTTTCTCTAGACTGGCTACAGCAATTCTATTAAAAACCTATGCTTTTTTTAATAATACATATATACAATAAGGCAATTAACTTAAGAAATTAAAACTTCAGAATTTTAGTAGTAGTTGTTTATCCTAAAAATATAAATTAGATGTACCACGGAGACTAAAGCTTTTCCTTTTTATAAAATATATATTTATGTAAGTTAATGGAAATGTTCTTTTCTGGTAAATTAAATAACTTACGTACTATTCTGTTGTAAAAATATAGTAGGTTGTCATACTTTGTAAAATTTATTTTATGAAGTAATTACTTTTAATTACAGAATTTGAAAATGCTGAAACTTTGCTTATTTCCGAAGTACACATGCTTTTAGAACATCGCAAAGCACAAAACGAATCAGCAGAAGACGAACAAGAGTTTTCAGACGTTTTCATGAAAACTCTTACATATACAGACAGATTTCGGAAATTTAAGAATAAAGAAACTATATCAGCCGTAAGAAAGTAAGAAAATTTTGAGAGAAACAAACATGTGCATTTATTATTGAATAAAAGGAACTTTTGTATAACTGAACTTCATTATTAAAAAAAAATATAGCAGTAGAATTTAGAGAAATCACTGCATATTCACTTTATTTACTTGATTATTATCATTACAAGGTCATTGGTTGACATGTACCTACATTCCTTCCTGAGTTAATCATTATATTCCCCAAAAACTAGTACCTTTCTTATTTGTGAACAGTAATCTAATCT